CTTTTTCAGTTATCCAGAAAACATTCTGTAAAGCTTTTCTGCTTACTGATCCAGGATCTAATTAAGATTTGTATATTACTTTCAGATGTTGTAGTTGTTAGGTCTGTCTCAATTTACAATATACTCACTGTTTCCTTTTTTTTTCTTCTTCTTCTTTTTTTTTTTTAAGGACACTGAATCCTTTAAAGAGTTCAGGTCAGGGGCCCTGAAAAAAAGGTCCTCCATTCTGGATTGGATTGAACTATTATCTCATGATTGTCAAGTCAAATATTTTCATTAAAAATGACACATAGGGGCTGGGGATTTAGCTCAGTTGGTAGAGTGCTTGCCTCTCATGCACAAGGCCCAGGGTTCAATGCCTAACACCACAAAAATAAATTAATTAATTAAATAAAGGTATGCTGTCCTTCTACAATTACAAAAAAAAAAATTAAAAAAAGAATGACACACAGATAATGTTATGTCTCTCCTGTGCACTGCATTATGCATATGGTTGTCCTACCATTAGCAATGCCAACTTTGACAATTTTATGATTTTTTTTCCTTTATAATGAATAAACCATCTATAGGAGGCTGGTGTGATGATACATACCTGTTATCTCAGCAATGTGGGAGGCTAAGGCAGTAGGATTGCAAGTTCAAAGCCAGCCTCAACAAATGAGCAAGATCATGTTTCAAAACAAAAAAATGAAAAGAACTAGGATATAGCTCAATGGTAAAGTGCCACTGGGTAATCCCCAGTACCAAAAAAGAAAAAAAAAATATATAGGGTGGTATTTGAGACCAAAAACACACTTGGCAATTATGAAAGTCAGAAGAAAGTTGAATACAATTTTCAAAGTGCTAAGAAAAAAAATAACTATTAAAGCAGACCTCAACTACCAACTAAAATACCATTTAAAAATTAAGGTCTACCCTGAAATTATGTGAAAGTCCCATCAAAAATAATAATAATAATAATAATAATGGTTCTACCCTGGTCAGAAGAAATTATTTTCAATGATATTATAGATCTTTGGTAGGTAAATTATATAACTAAATAATAAGCTATTTCTTGAAATAGCAACTTTATTGCCTCTATTATGAAATATAAATATTTAACTTCTATTCAATTCCTTTCTGTTCTCTCAGTTATTAAAATTGTTATTAATTATTCTTTAGTTCCCTTTGTAACTATAAACATTATACAAATGTGTACATAAATATATATTTTATTTTATCAAATTAAGACACCAACCCTTGATCTAGCACTAATGTTAAGACATGGTTATTAGCACCCTCACCACTCCTTTTCAAATTGTGCATCTATAATTTTTTTATTAGAGTTTAATGATTATACATGTAGTTGGGTTCATCCTAACAACCTATTCCTACATAGAAATCAAGTTCAGTTCATGATCCCTCTTTTTCCCTTCCCCTTTTCCCTCCTACCCTCACCCCCTCCCATTCTCCTTCCTCTACTCAACATTCTTTTGCTATTAATTTGTATTTTATTAGTTTCTTAATATATTCCTATCCTTCCCTCCCCCTTTCCTTACTCTAGCTTCCACATGTGAGATAAAACATTCAACCTTTGAGTTTCTGAGTTTGGCTAATTTTATTTAGCATATTATATTCCATTTCCATCTATTTACCAGCATTATTTGCCAAATAATGTAATAAAAAATCTCCACTATCATGTTGTCAAGAAAGAAATAACAGCCAGGAAAGGTAGTGTCTACCTGTAATCCCAACAACTAGGGAGGCTGAGACAGGAGGATCACGAGTTCAAAGCCAGCCTCAGCAAAAACTGAGGTACTAAACAACTCAGTGAGACTCAGTGTCAAGTAATAGTTTAAGATGCCATATGTAACTAAAATCTTCAGGAATTTGAGGGCTACATATATTGTAAATATAGAATGTTCTAACTCCACAAAAGTAAGGTGAATCTATAAGAGTGATATCTAGGATGGAAATATTGGCAGGATGCAGGTGAAAGATGAAAAGCACCAGATATATAACCTTAGGTATCAATTAATATCTGTAAATACAAATGCATAACAAACTACTAACACATGAAAAAACAGATTAATCTAAATAAAATTTAAGTGAATAAAGTCGTCTTTCAAAAACAGGAAATACTTTATCATTCCATTCACGTGAAATTCCAGAACATGTAAAAGAAACCTGTTTTAAAAAAACATCAAAGATCAAGGCTGGGGATATAGCTCAGTTGGTAGAGTGTCTGCCTTGCATGCACAAGGCCCTGGGTTCAATCCCCAGCACCAGAAAAACAAAAACAAAAAACATCAAAGATCAATGGTGGAATATAAGTGTGGGTATTGGTTGGCAAAGGAAGCGAGGAAAATTTTATATGATGGTGGGTTTGAGTTATAACAAGTATATTCATTTGTCAAGGTTTGTGCATTTCACTAATTTAACCTCAATAAAAAACTAAATAAAAAACTATAATTAATCATATATATATACACACACACACTTAAGTATTTAGGGGAAACATAATAAGGTGTACAATTTACTATAGACAAATAAAATAAAAAAAAAAAAGATGAACTGATTTGAGAAAAAGATAAAGTAATAGATAAATGGTCTACCGAATGTCTACACTTTTTTTAAAAAGTAGTTTTGGTACTTATGTATGGACAGCATACCTTTATTTTATTTGTTTATCTTTATGTGGTGCTAAGCATTGAATAGTGCTTCACACATGCCAGGCAAAGCCCTTTGCCACTGAGCTACAGCCCCAGCCCCAAATGTTTACTCTTAACATTCTTTCAACATTGCTAAATGTTTAAAATTTTCATCATAAATATTGGGGAGAGCTCTGCTTCCTGGTTATTATGTCCTGCTCTGGTTTCCTCTGCTGTACCCTTCAGCCAAAATGTTATTCCTTACTAGGGCCCAGAGTTAGGGACTTGGCTGACCATGGACTGAACCTCTGAAACCTCTATGAACAGAGTTTCCCAAAGGCTATATTAAAACTCTGAAAAAAGATTGAAAGCAAAATCAATGAGAATCTATCAGTCTTCTAAGTCAATCATTAAAGAAACTAACCAAAATATAAAATAATGGAAGTCTTCTCAAAACATATTTGTTGGTAAAAGAATTAGTTTTATAAATACGTTCACATAAAATGAGCAAATGGTTATTTTAAATGCAATAAGTAACTTTTGGGGTTTTTTGTGATGCAATGATTATTTGTAGACATAATCTATATAGATAAATGTCCTAGAGGTCTTCAATAATTTTTTAGTGTAAAAGTGTTCTGAGCTTTTATACATTCCAAAAGAGAATGATGATATTTATCTCTGGAGTTCCTGGGAAGGTTATATAATATACTTACAAAGCACTTTGTGAACATGAGTACACATCATAGTAATAGATGCTATACTAATTAGCATTAATTTTGGAAGGGTCAAAGATTTTGACTCCCAGTGGAAATGATTTAAATTAAGCTTATGGTTTCCTTCTCTCTTTGCAGATCCTTCAATTATTAGTGACAGCTGGGGAAGTCATAATCAGCTGGCACAATTGTGTGTATGTCATAGATTTTCATTTTTCTTATAGATTAAAAGGTACATGTTCTATCAGGCTATAGAGTAAAATGTGCTTTTATGACAGTCATTTACACTTTTTTTTTAGCTTTATTTTATTTTTTATTTTCATGTGATGCTGAGGATTGAAGCCAGTGTCTAGGTGAGTCCTCTACCACTGAGCCATAACTCTAACCCCTAAACTTTTACTCTAGTTTGTTTTCAGTCAGAATTGATTCCTTTTGTTATTATTAAAAGGCCAATTATTTGTCTAGGTATTCTAGATAAAAAGTAAAAACAAGTTTCTTTCCTTGAAGACCATGTGATGTAATAAAGGAAATATGCATATTAAAAAATAAATGAATAAAATATAGAGAAGAAAGAATATAATACATGTGGCTATAGAACTATAACAATACTATCCTTAAAAATATAGAAAACCAGGGACTGGAATTGTGGGTCAGAGGGGGAACGATTGCCTCGCATGTTGAGGCACTGGGTTCGGTCCTCAGCACCACATAAAAATAAAATAAATATATAGTGTCCACCTATAACTAAAAAACTAAATATTAAAAAAATAGAAAACCATGCAATATCTCAATGTTATGGAAGAGATATACACCTATTTTTAAGTTTGAAAAAAGTAAAGAAATACAGGCAGTAATATAAGGTACTAGCAAGACACAAGCAGAGGTTGCTAATTTAAGATGAAAAATGAAATGAACAAAAATGTAATGAAGACTAGGTAAATATAAAAAAGTAATACATTCTAGAAAATTGTTAATATATGTGATGCTGAGAATATCTAGTAATTCAAATAATTAACCTGTTTTGTCCCATCATCCCACATGTAGAACACAAAAACTTAAACATACTACATTATGTATCTACGTAAAATATAAAATTGGACATAGAACTATATTATACTATAATTGTAATATCAATATAATAATAAACTCTAAATTATTATTTCTAACTTATTTTAATGCACCTGTGTCAATTTTTTTGAAATACAGAATTAAAAACTTGGGATTTAATGGGTTAAGGTAACCAAACATACTTTTTTTTGAGGTACTAAGGATTGAATTCAGGGTACTTTAACACTGAGCTATATCTTCAACTCATTTTATTTTTTGAGACAGGGTCTCAGAAAGTTGCCTGGGTTGGCCTGGAACTTGAGAAGGCTGCCCTGAAAACTGCAATCCTCCTGCCTCAGCCCCCCAAGTTACTGACACTACAGGGGTACCACAACATCCAGTCAAACATATTTTCTAGAGTTTAGAATATGTTCAGTATCTTCCAACCTGAGTATAAGTCAATCATAGTAAATGGATGAAGCTAATTTACTCAGAATCAATTTTATTAAAGAAAGACTATGGGTACCTAAAAAGAATAGTTTGAACACAGCTTGTTTTTTACACTTGGCAGGGATATAACATTTTTAGCATGTCTGAAAAAGTACTTTACCTGCCCTGTCTTCCGAGGGCAAAAGTGATGCCATCTTTCTGGAATGGAAACAGTTTTGTTCTTAGTTTCTCAGGCAAAAAATCCAGTTGTTGATAGGATTCATTTGTTAAGGAAGAAATCTGAGGATTATGACACTTTTTTATGTTCTGAACTTTAGGCATGATGATCCTATAAACAAAGAAACCACAAAAAAGGAAGGATAGGGGAAACAGATTTACTAAGTGTTACTATAGAATCGAACATGGGTAATAATATTATGGTACTTAAAAATAGCTTTGATATACCATCTACATAGATATAGAAAAGTTAGGTTGTGTTTCCAGAGTAAGTTACTAAGAAAAGTCAAAGTACTAAGTTAAAAAAAAATTACTTGCACTTGCTAGAAACTCAGCACTCTCAGTTTCATCTTGAGCCATAATATAGCCATACCCCTCTTTCATAAAATAAATGTTCTAAAAACTATAAAATCAACTTTACAAATTGAATAATTTTAAAAACAAAGGATAAATGTACTATAAAATACTGCTTTTATAATTGACTCTTTTATACATATACATTTTCATATCATATTAGATATTCTAAGAATGGGGCAAATCTACATTTAAAAAATTATAAAATACAAAGACCTTAACTCCAAACATATTAATTAAATTAATTCAACATTGCTAAATAGAAATTTATTTTTAAAAATTAAAATTAATTCTTTTTAGTCAGCTAATTTTACAGTATAAAATCTGATTAGCACCTTCCTCACTCACTGGGTATCCACAAATATAATTTTCTACAATACCAAAATTTCATATATCTTTAAATTCTTAGAACTCTGAAAGACAAAGTCCTTTTAAACCACTATGCTATAATGCTTCTCTAATAATATTTCATATTCAGGTGCTTCACTGTTTATAAATAATCTCATTCAACTTTTTAAAGAAGCTTGCTTTTCATGTGATGGTCACTTAAAGACTTGTAAAACTTTAAGTCCTCTCTTCCCTCAAACGTAACTAATTTCTAACTCTACTAAGAATCTTAAGAATTAAATAAGTTTTATTTACTAAAAACAAATAGGTACTACATTCTATGATCTGAAGAATTAAGGCTCATACCATCACAGGGCTTACATTTTTGAAGGAGTGATTAAAGTAAATAAACAAGATGATTAATTATATCATAGCAGAAATATTAGAGGGAAGTTAACATGCAAACAGCCATTTGAGGAAGGCTGAGCAGAAGAGGTCCATCTTAAGAGGTAAGGTTTATCCTATAGTCTGAAGAATGTAAAAGTCAACCAGGTTCAAAATTAAGAGAAAAGCACTCCTGACAGAGAGCATTAGTGCAAAGGCCCCGAGTCAAGAAAGAGCCTGATATTTTCAAGAAACAGAAAGGAAGCCTGGCATGGTGGTGCATGCCTGTAATTCTGGTATCTTGGGGGCTGAGGAAGGAGGATCACAAATTCACAGGCAGCCTCAGTGAGTTAGTAAACCCTAAAAAACTTAAGTGACCCTGACTCAAAACAAAAAATGAAAAGGGATGGCAGATGTGGCTTCTGGGTTACGAGCTGCTGGGTTTAAACCCCAGTTTAAAAAAAAAAAAAATGAAGTAAAGTGGGCTGGGGCAGTGGTAATGTTTGTCTACTATTTGCAAGGTTCTGGTTTTGATTCCTAGTACTGCAAAAAAAAAAAAAAAGAAAGAAAGAAAGAAAAAAGAGAGAATGAATGAATGGAATGCAAATCTGCTGTTCAATACATCATTAGCCACATGTGGCTACTTATTTTATTTTTTTAATTTATTTAAAATTAAATAAAATAAAAATTCAGGCCAGTTATACCAGTTGCTTCAAGTGCTCAACAGTCACAGTCACTATTAGCTACCATATGAAACAGTGCATACAGAGAACATCTCTATCTACTGAAAGGTCTATTGGACAGCACTTACTATAGATTTTTAAGCAGTGGAATGCCACAGTCGGTCTTAAATTTCAAAAACTACATGTGGAGGACAAAGACACCAATAGGAGGGCAAAGAATGAATGTCCCTACAGGATTTGGTCAGTCACCAAGGCTCCCTCTGCTTCAAGTGGACTTGAAAATTATATCTATATCTATATCTATATATATATATGTGAATGACTCAGGTCTATATGAATTATCTTCATAAACACCAATACATGGACATTCTTAGAACCCTGTCAACAACACCTACAACAAAACTGAGCAAACAGATAATGTTTCAAAAAGGGGAAGGTATAGAAGCAAAAAACCTATTACAGGTTACAAAGGACAAGGCAAAATGATCTTTTGGGGGGCTGGGGTTGTAGCTTGGTGGTAGAGCAGTTGCCTAGCATGTGTGAGGCACTGGGTTTAACACTCAGCACTACATAAAAATAAATAAATAAAATAAAGCTATTGTGTACATCTATAACTGAATTTTTATTTTTATTTCATTTCATTTCATTTCATTTTGGTATTGGGGACTAAACTCAGGGACACTTGACCACTGAACATATCCGCAGCCCGATTTTGTACTTTATTTAGAGAGAGGGTCCCAGTGAATTGCTTAGCTTTTGCTGAGGCTGGCTTTGAACTCACGATCCTCCTACCTTAGCCTCCCAAGCTGCTGGGATCACAAGCGTGTGCCACCATGCCCAGCTCAACAACAAAAAACAATTTTAAATAAAATAATCTTTATCAGTGAAATGGAGAGATTTGGGAACTGTATCAGACATAAAGCAAAGGGGACTTGGTGATAGAGTACATGTAGAGAATAAGAGAAATGTGGGATCAAGATGTACACAACAGCAATGGAGTCAGTGATACAGAACACTACAATGACTATAGAAGAAATGAATTGGGGGAATCAATCTTTTAGAAATACATAAAATTTGATAAGACTACAAAATATGAAAAGGAAGTATCAAGTAGGCTTTAAAAAAATCTATGAAACTAGAATTCACATAGGAAAGTCATGGAGGCTTAACACAAGAAATATCAGTCAGCCTTATAGCTAATGAGTTTGCTAATCAGATATGTCCATTTTGAACTTTAACAGAAAAAGTCAAAACTCAAAGGAGCAAAGATTAAGTGAAATCCATTTTGGCATGGTAACTGTAGGATAAAGAGTCATGTCCACTTTCCAGAAGTAAGAGTTCAGAATCAATCAGATATAAGATACAAGAAGGAAGCTTAAAAAATACAAAAAAAAAAAAAAAAACTATTTTACTGTCTATTATCTTTGTTCAAGAAGACTACTTTTTGCTTTATTTACTTTGTAAAAACTTTCATGGACATTACATGAAAAATACCTGCTACATTGAGGTCTCTTTGTTATCAGTACAATTTATGTTGTAAGGACTGGCTAAGGTACTACATTTGTAAAAATAAACAAGAAGCTAAAGTTACCATAAAAAAAGTTACAAATGGGGCTGGGGATGTGGCTCACGCGGTAGCGCCGTCGCCTGGCGGGTGATCGTCCCGGGTTCGATCCTCAGCACCACATACAAACAAAGATGTTGTGTCTGCCGAAAACTAAAAAATAAATATTAAAAAATTCTCTCTCTCTCTTAAAAGAAGAAGTTACAAATAAGATTTTTTAAAATTATTCAGTACAAAGACGAAAGAAGTCTAAAGTAGTATGAAAATGTTCAAAGAAAATTTCAATTGAGTTTCATTTCCAAGTGTTGCTTATCAAGAGGTTAGAAAACAAGTTTGACTAGATTTAGCTTTGACTAAATTTCCCTAGCTGATAGTTGTTTTCCTAATTTTAATAGCATTGTATTAAAAATTATATTGCTGGTTCCCTTTAGATAGCCTTCTCTCATCTTTAGTAAAAGTAAATTAGTATACATTGAATAAAATCTTTTTTCCCCAAAATTGCTGAACTAAATTCTCCAGTTTTCATGATTAGAAAGGGATGTGCAATTATTGTCACTATTATTTTATTTTGTTTATTTTTAAAAAAATAAATGACAGTAGAATGCATTACAATTCATATTACACATATACAGCACAATTTTTCATATCTGGTTGTATATGAAGTATGTTGACCAGTTTGTGTCTTCATATATGTACCTTGGATTATGATGTCTATCACATTCTACCATCCTTGCTGACCTCCTCCTTTTCTCTCCCATCCCTCCCTTTCCCTCCCACCCCCCTGCCCTATCTAGAGTTCGTCTGTTTCTCTCATGCTCCCCATCCCTAACTTGCCAAGGCTGGCCCAGAATTTGTCACATCTGTCTCAATATCTTGAGTAGCTGGGATTACATACTTGTACCACCACCCAGGCGATAATATAATTTTAATAGTTTGGATAGTAGTATAAATGGAAAAAAAGCATTTAAATATTATTTTATTTTATATTATTATTATTTAATTTTTATTGTTGGGGTTATTTAAATCTGTATAGCACTTTCGATAGTATGGAACTGAATCCATGGCATCCTGCATACTAGCTAGGCAAGTGCTCTACCACTAAGCTACATCCCAGCCATTTTAATTTCATTTTGAGACAGAGTCTTACTAAGCTTCCAAGGCTGATGACAAAACAAACTTGTGATCCTCCTGTAATCCTCAGGAATGTGCCAACACACCCAGTGACATTTTCTTTCTAGACAGCACTTATCACTTATAAAGTACCACACAATTTACTTATGCTGTTTCTCCCATCTTGAATATAAGCTTCACTGAGGTAGAGACTTTTTTAATCTGTTTTATTTACTAGTGTTCTCCATACACACAGAACAGTGCCTGGCACAAACACTCAATATTATTATATAAAGTTTCAAAGGACCAGGGGACCATGAAACAAGTCCAGAGGTAGAATAGTTCCTGGGGATGAGAAGGTATAAGGTGTAGCCATAGGAGTGCATGGCTGAACTAGCATGGAAATAAAGTTCCCAGGAGACACAACAGTACTGAAACTAAAAAACTATATGATGTGTCAGCTGGAAGGCACATTCATATGTAGAAGTCCCTCTAAAAAAAGAAACAAATTTAAACCAAGTTCAAGTTACAGTAAGGAAATTAGCAGCACATTTTCCAGAGTGATTAAAATTAGAGGGATGTTTATTAAATATGAATTATGGTTCCAAAGAATACCCTAGAACATTCCAAGAAGGAGCACTAAATATGAAAAACTCTTCCTAAACCATAATATCAAACAAATCTTATGCCCAATTTAAAAACAATTTCTGGGGGCTGGGGCTATGGCTCAGCAGTAGCACACTTGCCTGGCATGCATGAGGCACTGGGTTTGATTCTCAGCTCCGCATATAAATAAAAAAATAGATAAATAAAGGTCTATAAACAACTTAAAATGTATATATATATATATATATAAACACACAAATCAGTTGTGCTTATGAAGTGAAAAGGTAGCCAATAAAAAGATCTATTAATCTACTATATATGTACTGTAGATTAATATACATATATATATATACATATGTGTATATAGAGAGATATATATATAATAGATAGATAGATAGATAGATAGATAGATAGATAGATAGATAGATAGATAGATAGAAAATTTCTGTACTAGGGGTACTTTATCACTAAGCTACATCCATAGGTTTTATTTTGAGACAGGGTCTCCATGAGGCTGGCCTTGAACTTGCACTCCTCCTGCCTAACCTCCATAGTCACTGAGATTTCAGGCATGCACCAACATACCCAGCTTAGATATCTAAATTATATAAATTCTTCCTAATCAAACAAAAATTGTCAGTGGAAATGTCCTAAACACTATGGCAATTTGGCTACAGAGACACAACTATAAGTGTAAAAATGAAACATCTTATGTAAATCTTGGGTGAACTATGATATTAAGAATAGCTTATTTAACTATTCCTTCTTAACCTGCCCCACACATTACTAATAGAAGGCAGTGGGACAGAGGCGGAAGAGAGGGGCTAGAAGTTAGTAACCTCAGTAAATATCTTTCCCCAGAGTTAAGTAAAATCAGTACAAAAGTATTTACATTTCAGTCATGGAGGCACATACTTGTAATTCCAGCTACTACAAGGCTGAGGCATGAAGGTCACAAATTTGACAACAGCTTGGGCAACTTAGACCCTGTCTCAAAAAAAAAATAAAAAGGCTGGCAATGTAGCTCAATGTTAAAATGTAGCATGCATAAGGTCCAAGGTTCAATCCCTAGTACTACTACAAAAAAAAAAAAAACATGAATTATAAGTAGTTTTAAGTTCTTTATTGGAAACATAAATTTAGCTTAAGTAAATCAGCAGTTTCTACAAGTTTTGAATACAGGAAATCTATTGGACACTCCACCTTTAAAATATATGGATTCCAGAAGGCACAAACTCAAACACAAATCAGTTGTGCTTATGAGGTGAAAAGGTAGCCAATAAAGAGATCTAGTAATAGTCTACTATAATATTTTAAGGTGTTTTTACAAAAGTCATATATTCAATAATATTAACTCTTCAAATTTATCATGAGTTGAGAATGTGCCTATTTCATATATACAGTATATATTCTACATCAATGTTTATACCTGATATACTACACTTGTAAATATAACTACATTACATTTAGTTTGTGAACTACAGCCTAAATTTAATAAATTAAAAGTAGGTTTCATCAGTAAAATTGAATATTATAAAATAACAATAGATCAATTTCAATAAGTATAAAATTACATAACATTTTTTAATTCATTTGTTATGGGGCTTTTAAAACTGCCATATCTAATATTTAATTACTTTACAAGCAAGGACACTAGAATCTATCATTCCACAGAAAACTATTTTCAGAATAGTGATAAAATAACTCCCACTTATTAGTTAACCTCTTTCCATGAGGCAGTATACTAGAAAATTTTAGAAAACCTCCTGTAATTCTCAAAACAACTCACAAAGTATTGTTCGTATCACAGTAAAGACAAGAAAATTGAAGTTCAGAGATACTAAAAAATTTACACAAGGCATAACAGTTAGGTACTGGTAATATTAAGCCTGGAACACAGATTGGATTAATTTTAAAGCCTCGATTTTTGTAGCTATATAACACTGCCTCTCTAAATCACTCCACAAATACTTACAGAGTGCCTATTATGTGTCAGACACTGAGGATGTGAAGATAAATTTGTGCTATTGTAGCCTTACCTTTGGGTATGATCAAGAAAGGAAGGGAGAGCTATACATATATAATCACAATACAATGTGGTAAGTGTTATGAAAAAAGTATATATAAAGTACTGTACATAACTGGAAAAATTGACTCTGCAAGACAGCAAGCAATCAAAGAAGGCTTCATATAGAAAAAATAATTGGCACATAATACACCTTATTTAACTACCTAATATATGCCACAAGCTGAAACTTGAAGGAAGTCTAGAGTTTACAGATGGAGAATCAAGTAAGAATATTCTCAGGAGAAAAGAAGCTATATTTGCAAATGTACAAAGTTTGAAAATCCTAAGCAGTTTAACACAGCTAAAGATTAAAATGCATATAAAAAGTAGTAAAATATAAAACAAAAACCATGCACGGTGATGCATACTTGTTACTCGAGAGGCTGAGACAGAACTTCAAGTTCATGTCTCAGAAATACAAAAAGACCTTGTCTTGGAGTAAAAAATATAAAAAGCTGGGATGTAGCTCAGTGGTACAACACCACTGGGTTTAATCCCCAGTGCTTTCCCCCCATAAAAAGTGGGAAAAAGGTAAAAAAAAAAAAAAAAAAAAAAAAAAAAAGGCCATGTCAGGCAGGTCCTCTTATGTTAAAAGAGGTTGGGCTTTTATTCTGTAAGGAACTGGGAGCCTTTCCTACAGTTTAATTAGGTTGCTATTTTCTAAAGATTATTGTGTCAAGATTAAAAAAATGGATGTAGGAGCAGGGCTAACCTTTTAGAAGACTACCATAAATAGTACAGTAATACAATCTATAATCTCTCAGCTTCAGAGTCCTACATCTAATTAATTACCTACCTGACATTTTGGATGTCTCACAGAGCTTTCTAGTTTAAATGTCCAAAACCAAAGTCCTGATTTCTCTACCAAACTTGTGATTTCTCTACCAAATTCTGTACCCAGTTTCTCATTAAGTAATATAATTACATAAGTCACTCAAAGTGGCCACCAGGATTAACTTCTTGTTTTTTAACAATTTAAACTTTATCTTTTATTTGTTTTTATGTGGTGCTGAGGATCAAACCCAGTTCCTCACCTGTGCTAGACAAGCACTCTACCACTGAACTACAAACCCAGGATTTCACTCTTGATCCCTGCCATTCCTTAAACTGCTGAATTGAATCCACTTGTTATTCATTATTCTCCAAATATATTGAAATCTACCTATTTCACCCCAATCTCATTGTCATCATCTATCCCAAAACATCCCTGCCACTCAACTAAAATACTACAATGGCTCTCAACTAGACTCCCCCACATTGTCCTTAATATCAATTAGTTTCTTAGTTATTGGCAATTATTGTTATGTTTCCTTAAAAATTTATCTCTCTATAAAATCCTATTAAAATGTCTTCATAAAGGTAGGCACGA